AATTATATAAATAATAATTTGATTCATTAAAATGCTATAATTTTAATGAAATCCTTGAAAAATTATGTGTCAATAAATTTTAAATTAAAAAAATATTTTATCTTTATTAAAAATAACAAATCCTAATAATAACTTCTATTTAAAGAATAATAATTTTTGTTATGTAAATAGTAAGAGTTAAACAAAAATCATGGCTTGTCAAATATAATTTTAATTATTAAAAAATAAATTTTTAAAATAATAAATCTTATTTACAATTTTTATTTAAAAAATAATAATATTATTTAAAAAATTATAAAAATTGAATGAGAAATTATAACTTATTAAAAAATAAAATAATATTTTTAATTTAAAATTTATTAACATGAAAATTTTAATGAAATTATAATATTTTAAAAAATTAAATTATTAAAAATTTTATTATATATTTTTTTAAATTTGTCCACTTTAATTTAATTATTGAGCGTGCTAGTGCTTCTTAATTAAGACATTGTACCCTATGACCATGGCTAAACTTAGGTTGTCATTGTCCTTTAAAATCCTTGGCAAAGAATCTGAGGTGCTCTTGAATTTTAGCTCCGTGGCGTCTAGTATTGCATTTGTCAGTGGCAGATCAGATCCCAGCCGTTCATTGGTCGCACACGCGATCACCAATCATCATTAAACGACCGGACACGTTTATGTTCCTGTTCATACACCAATATCTACGACTACGATGAATCGCCGCTCCACAATTCCAACATGAACATGAACACTCACTTGAAGCCTAAACTCGCAATCCTCAATTCCACATTCACGCGTCTTTCCAGACTGGCATCCAACCATTTTGTTTTCGCGGGCCCCACAATACCCCACCAATTCGAATTATCTTCAAGAAATTCCAAAACTGCCCTTAACCTTTTAGGGTACCAAAATGCCTTCTCGCGCTTTCTCTCTCTCTTGCTCTTATCTCTTCGCAACGCACTCCACCATGCTACCGACAATCCGTTGCCACACTGTCACTATTACTGTCTTCCTCGTCGCCGTCGTGGTTGTCCCTGCGTCTCACGGCAACGGAGAGCTTCCGGTGTTCAGGGAGGCACCAGCATTCCGCAATGGAAGGGAGTGTCTCAGAACGGCGGGGTCTGCTCTCGACGATCGAGCTCACATTAATCCGTCCGTGAAACACATTGCGATGACTCTAGATGCCACTTATCTCCGTGGTTCCATCGCCGGCGTATTCTCCGTTCTCCAGCACTCATCTTGCCCCGAGAATGTGGTATTCCACTTCATTGCCACGACGCGCCGTCGTTCGGAGCTTCGCCGGGTCATCACTTCGACGTTCCCGTACCTCAAGTTCCATCTGTACCACTTCGATTCAAACCTCGTCAAGGGGAAGATCTCCTACTCCATTCGCCGAGCTCTCGATCAGCCTCTCAATTACGCGAGGATGTATCTCGCTGATCTCCTACCGGCCGGAGTTCGCCGGATAATCTACTTCGATTCTGATCTGATCGTGGTGGATGACGTGGCAAAGCTCTGGAACATCGATTTGGGGACGCGTGTACTTGGCGCGCCTGAGTATTGTCACGCTAACCTCACCAATTACTTCACTCCCAAGTTCTGGTCCAATCCGAGCTATGCGGCGTCGTTTCGAGGACGGAAGCCATGCTATTTCAACACCGGCGTCATGGTGATCGATCTGTGGAAATGGAGGGAAGGAAAGTACACGGAGAAGCTGGAGAACTGGATGAAGATTCAGAAGCGGTACAGGATCTACGAGCTGGGTTCTCTGCCGCCGTTCTTACTGGTGTTCGCCGGCGAAGTCGAGAGGGTGGAGCACCGGTGGAACCAACACGGGCTGGGTGGGGACAATCTGGAAGGTTTGTGCAGAGATCTTCATCCCGGACCGGTGAGCCTGCTTCACTGGAGCGGCAAGGGGAAGCCATGGCTGAGGCTTGACTCGAAAAGGCCGTGCCCGTTGGATAGCTTGTGGGCTCCCTACGATCTGTTCCGTCACGCTCGGTTGTTCTCTGACAGCTAGCCGATGACAACGACGTTCACCACGCGCCACCGCTGCCACCGCCGAGTCACTTAACCTTTTGTATGTTGTTCACTTGCGAGTTTGATCAGTGGACAGGACACTGGACTGGAGTGGAGCGAAGCTGTGAGCTGCGAGGCGCAGAGAGTGAAAAGACGAGAGAGGACACGTAGGTGCGAAGAAACTGAAAAGAAGGTTGCTGAGACAAAACGGTGACGTAAGATGGTATGTACGGTGTACCAATAGACACAAATAGGTGCCGCTATATTCTTGTGATCTTGTCTGCTTCCAGGAGCTCGGGGAATGACCGAAAAATAATTGTACAATATAATTGTTTAATTTATTCTTGATCATTTTGAAAATTAAGTGATTATATTGTATATGACTGTTTCATTTTGAACAATTAGTGATTATATTGTATGATTGTTTTATCTTATGATACATATGTCACTGTACGAAGGAGTTTTGGTCTTGAAAATTTGTAAGAAAATTGATAAGGAGATCTAATCATAGTATGTCTTCTAGTTCACAAAAAAAAAAAATCTTAAATTTTGAGAGGCTTAGCTTGGAGATGGAGAGATCACAGTAGAGAAGTTGACTGTGATAAAGTCAACAACTTAAAATATTCACTTCAATCTTATATACAAGTTGCTTTTGGAGTTTAACTACTTCGCTAAAATAAAAATAATAATTAAATTATTAATTTGCTTTAAAAAATTTCAATTTATTCAATTAAATATATTGTCTTTAAAAATATTTATTTTCTCGTTTACAACATTTTACTATTTTTCGAGCAAATTGTGAAAGAATAAAATTTAAAAAAGTGATTAATAATTAAATTTTTAACACGAAATAACTTGTAAAAATAGCTATACATTAAATACCTTTGAGTACATATGAATCCGGTGGATGGTGATTAAATAGCTATACCTACTTGATGCAATCTTGATTCTAATGCAATGAAGCTTCATATTTCATTTTTTTTAAAAGAAAAAATCAATTTAGGAAATCTATTTTTAATAAAAGTAATCTATTACTTGTTGGAAAATACCTCGGTTTAAGGAGAACCATTCAGTTTAGCCAAAGCAACCAAACAAGCATTCAATAAAATCTGAATTAGGTCTTTCAAACCGATAGGTTATTTAAGTGTGAGTAAATTTAAGCAAATATAGAAAGTCTTGTATCGGATAAAGTTGAGCTTAATAACTAATATAAAATAAAAATAAATGACCTATAAACTTAAGTCTTGAGATTTTGAGTTAAGATGTGATATCTTTTCACTAATCTTGCTCATCTCTCCTCTTCTCTCATTCTTAAGTGATTGTTCCTCATTTCTAACAAGTGATATTAGAGCCCAATTTCACCCGAGATCTATAAGCCTGTTATCTCTCACACGCTTGAAGTTCAAAATGGGATTGGCCTTGTTTCAATTGGGACTTATATGTGTTACACCTTTTGAAACTTGAACTGACCCTAAAAAAATGAGAACTTAGTGTTCAGAGTGTCTTTGATATGGAGAGTTTATGAACTCATACTTGAGGGAGAGATTATTAGGTTGTCCAAGTGTAAGTAAATTTAATCAAATATGAAAAATTCTATATTAAATAAAGTTGAGTTTAATAGTTAATATAAAACAAAAAAAATAATTTATAAACTTAAGTATTAAAATTTTAAATTAAGATGTAGTGTTATTTCGTTAATCTTATTTGTCTCTTTCCTCTATCAGTTTTTGGTCAATCACTCCCTATTTTTAACACAAACTGACATCCAAATACACCTCAAATCATAATATATTGGCACATACAATGACCCCCTTAATTTAATAAAAGTAATCTATTAAATGGGACCTTTATGAAAGCTTTGGGAGAAAACAGAAAAGGACTGTACCAAACAAGTACCTTGGGATGTGCTTTTTTGGATTGCTTGCCGGGGCATTTTGGTGCTTCGAATTTCAAAAGGCTTAACTATAGTATCAATCATCAACATGCTTGAGCCTCACGTTATTTTACAACCAAATCATTTTGTTAACATCATATGGTATAACTTTATAATATTTTCTGAAACATAAATACATATATTTTTCATATCAAAATACGCTGTAGTATTTCACAAACTCATAATTACAAACAACAAGCATGTATGAGAATTTAAATTTATAATCACCTTAAATCTTAGTTTTACTAGAAAAAGAGTACCTATATTAATTAAATAGAGCCTTCAATAAGCCCAAGCACACCAACAAGTGATCATCAATCTTCATTTCAACATATCAATAATCATTAATTATCAATTAACATTAATTTTCTCTAAATTAAATTTTTAAAATGTTGTCATGGCAACCTAAATAAGCTTGTAGCTTGAGAGTGTTAAAGTCAATTTGGTTATATGAACGTTTTTTACAAATTTCTCTTGCTTGAATTACCAACTCTGGAGGTGGATGATGAAACGAGTATATTATACTGACCAGCCTTTGTCATCTCTTTTGATTAATAAATCAATTCGTCTTTTAAAAAAAGTTTATCACATTGACATATGGTGTAATGACAGTAGTTAAACCAAATTTTTTTTTTATTACCTATAGGTATAGTCAGGCACCAGAATTTTTTGCAATGAGAATTTAAATTTCGGTCTGCTGACCTAACCAGTTGCTGGTCAAACCAAAGTTGAAACAGGAATTTTTCCAGCCTAATAAAGCAATGCATCTCATGCTACAAATGTTGTCCTCAAAGAAGAAAGCGGGCCCAAAAAAAAAAACAATTTGCAAACGAGTTTGGATAAGAGACCATATACAGTCGGTCATAATATGCCCAGCCCAAATCTATATCTTTACGTGCAACGCGTGGTGGATATTAATCCTCAATCCAATTCTAAAAGTTCCAAATCCTCTCCGTCCGCGTGAATACCAGAAATAACCGCCAAAAATAGTTTGAAGAATCATGCAAATAATAAATAATAAAATAAAACAAAAAATGTGATCTTGTGGCCGAAATTAGAAGCAGAGTCTCACTGGAACTCCTCCTTGCTCTATTCTCACACCACCACAAACCAAGCCTTTGGCATTTCTTTCTTTGAAACTGAAATGGCCACCGTTGCTGCCGCTCGAGGAATAGGTGTGGGAGTGACGAAGCTTCAAAGACCCAACCACTCCAACCACAACAAGAAGTCGCTCTTTTTGGGTCAAAAACTTCGAAATAAACCCTCCGTTACAGAATCCCATTGCAGTGGAGGAATCACAACACCGAACCCTAAATCGTTCGTGGCCTGCGCATTAGGAGGCGAATGGCTTGATTCGATTCACCACTTGTTTGTGGGCGTCGGGGTTGGGCTTCCTTGCACGGTCATGGAGTGCGGCGATATAATCTACAGAAGCACTCTTCCAAAGTCGAATGGCTTGACGATTACAGCTCCTGGGGTGGTTTTGGCTCTGGGTGCTGTGTCCTACCTCTGGGCTACGCCTGGTGTGGCCCCTGGTTTCTATGACATGTTTGTTCTTGCCTTTGTTGAAAGATTGTTCAGACCTACTTATAAAAAGGTCAGTGAATTGAAGATGAGTTTGCAATGGTCAAACTTAATGATTCTTTTCAGTGAGCTTTATGTTTTAATTGGAGAACTTGAAGGCACTTTTTAGGAAACTTTTTTTTTTAATGGAAAAAAAAAAAACCGAGCCACATTTCAGGAACTTTATTTGAATCTGGACACAGTATTGTTTCTGGGGTTGATTTGAATATTTAGGTCAGTTTAGACTGTCTAATTTCAATGGGAGCTATGTTGTCCCTCTATTTTATTTTTTTGTAGGAGGAATTTAATTCTTCTAATATTAATTTAAACAATACTACCTTTCTAATTATTAATTAAGACTGTTAAAAAGTAATAATCTTGATAATTTGCATAATATAGAATTCACGTGTCTATTGATTAGAGGTGTGATATTGATCTCATTGAAGTTAATGAAGTTGTTTCAACATAGATTAGAAGTACAAGTGCTGATTTTGATGTTGACTTAGTTGTTCTCTTGAGTAAATTAGAGAGATTAAACTGCAATTTAGCCTAACAGTTCCTTGAAACAGGATGACTTTGTCCTAGGGAAGAAGTTGGGTGAGGGATCGTTTGGAGTAGTTTACAGGGTTTCATCGACCAAGAAGCCCTCTTCAAAGGTATTACACTTTCCTTGGAGAAAATTTTAAAGCAAATGCTACATATTGGTTTAATTAACCACTCACCTGTTGTTAAGCGGTTAAGGTTTCTCTTTTGATTATTACATTACCATTAGTTCATCACTTTAGAGTTTTCCTATTTTTCATTTGCAATGTCTTGGACTGGTCCGGTTCTAGAATGTTGACTGATGTATTTTAGTTCTCTCTGGAAGGAAGGTGACTTGGTCTTGAAGAAGGCTACTGAATATGGCGCAGTGGAAATTTGGATGAATGAGCGTGTTCGAAGAGCTTGTGCAAATAGCTGTGCTGATTATGTTTATGGTTTCCTTGAGGTGTTGCTCTTATAAGACTACTACTTCTACCATAAGAATTGAGGGTATTACTATTGTATCGTTTATGAACAGATCAAAGATATTCTCACAACCATCCTTTTGCACTTTTAGTTTTGTTCTTGTGACCGGAATTTTTCTCACAAAATTTTTGCAGAATTCTGGGAAGAAGGGTGGTGAATACTGGCTTATATGGAAGTTTGAAGGGGATGCTACTCTGGCAGACCTAATGCTGAGCAAAGAGTTTCCATATAATGTTGGTTGTCTCTCTTATCAGTATATTACACTTGATTAGTTTTTACCTTTTAAGGCTTACTTTTCTACCAGAATTTGTATAACTAGTCATGGTCGTAAAATGAATAAAAAAGAAGCACTTCTTGTCTGCTGGCAACTGTAAGGGGAGGAATCCGTCCATTTTCAGTCTTTCATCAATGAACAACCATTATATCTTGAATTCTCCAATAACAGCCTTAGTGATGGCCACTAAAGAATTTCAGGTTGAAACAATGATTCTGGGCAAGGTCCAGGACTTGCCTAAGGGATTGGAGAGAGAAAATAGAATACTTCAAACAATTATGGGGCAGATCTTGTTTGCATTGGATGGTCTTCACTCAACTGGTATCGTGCATAGGGATATTAAGCCCCAGAATATTATTTTCTCTGAAGGTAAATACTAATATATTATAAATTCTTCAAGTATGTGTCATAACAAATTCTTTAAAATTTTTGTCTACTACATTTAAGAGAATTTGAGTCTACATACAAGTCCAAATTCTTGTAGCACATGTAAAGATTTGTACAATCAAAAGAATAGCCCTAATCTGGTGAAGGTCTAACTTTCTTTAAACCATGGGATCAGGATCTCGTACATTCAAGATTATTGATCTTGGTGCTGCAGCAGATTTGCGGGTTGGCATCAACTATATTCCTAACGAGTTTCTGTTGGATCCAAGGTATTTTTTCCCCCCTAAAACATAAGTGATAAAGGTAAACAACTGATCTCAAACTTATTCCACTGATGGTGTTTCTATGTCATGCGCAGGGCATAGTTATCAATAGAAATTCTTCTTTTATATTTACTCAATTTATTTTTAAAGTGTCCCCTGATGTGGATGTCTTTGGATATCATCCCTAGGCTTTGTCTAGATTTGAATAAAAGGTTTATGTTTACATTGAGGCATCATCAGGTGGAGAAGGGTTTATGTTTTACTGGATTGGTATTTATTGCTGGCTAGCATGTGGGTCCTATGCACTCTGATTTTTTTTAGGTGAAAAATCAAGGTTACACATACTTCTCAAAGATCATTTAATTGAAGTCTAAGCAATGAAATAGTTAGTGTAATTCTAGATGATATTAATATATTTTTTTTGACAGGGAAATAGGGTTACCAATCAAGAGAGTCGGCAATAATAATTAATATTTCTTATAGTTTTCAGTAGAATAAAATCAAACCACCATTTTAGTAACCACCAGTTTGGTTCCTCAATAAAATAAAATTATAATTATCAAACATGCCTCATATTTGTCAGACCGTTTACACCATGTCCTACCGTATGCAATTCATGATGTTTACTTTCAGATATGCTGCCCCAGAGCAGTACATAATGAGCACACAAACTCCCTCTGCACCCTCAGCTCCGGTTGCAACTGCACTTTCCCCGGTCCTATGGCAGGTCAAAGCATATATTATGGACCATCCATGTGTTTGGAATTAGGATAGCTCACTTTCACATGTAATGTCTTATGTTGCTTACAATAGTCCTCTTTTATCTTAAACAGTTGAATCTGCCGGACAGATTTGATATCTATAGTGCTGGCCTAATATTTCTTCAAATGGTGAGTGTCAAATAACTGATGACTAGATTTTGCTATTGTTATTAAAACTAAACTAGTCAAGTTCTATGAAAAATTATAAGGTAAACATGGGTTATAGAAGACTGATATATCAAACCCATGATGAATAAATAACATGTCAGACACACGTCACTGTAAGATTTCTTTAATAGGGTTATATGTTTCTTCATGATTGGCTTTGTTTGCTTATAACTCTTAATCTGGGTTTCCCTAAGAAATTAACAGATTTCATATGATATTTTGCTAAAAGAAGAATATGCCATGTCAATTACGAGAAGACTGCAAATAGTAGTTTTTCCTGTAAAATTGTTTTTACACTTTTGTAGAATTTTATGATGTTTTTTTGGTACTTACACGCTTCTTCTTCTTTTTTTTTTTTTTACAGGCATTCCCTGGATTACGCTCTGATAATTGTCTCATACAATTTAAACGTCAGTTGAAGAGGTGTGACTATGACTTGGTTGCGTGGAGAAGAAGTGTAGAACCTCGTTGTGGTCCTGAACTAAGGAGAGGCTTTGAGCTTCTGGATTTAGATGGCGGAATAGGGTGGGAGCTTCTGACATCAATGGTCCGTTATAAAGCACGGCAACGACTCAGTGCAAAAGCAGCATTAGCTCATCCCTATTTTGACAGGGAAGGCTTGTTGGCACTATCTTTCATGCAAAATCTAAGACTGCAGCTCTTACGAGCAACGCAGCAGGATTATGGAGAAGCAGCCAAATGGATTATTCAGCTCATGGCAAAATCTGGAACCTCACAAGTTGGAGGATTTACTGAAGCTCAGCTCCAGGAACTAAGAGTCTGTATCTTGACTAACTTTTGAAAGAGTAAACTGCCATTGGGTCCCTGAGAGATTCATGTTCTCTCAATTTGGTCCTTAAATGATAATTACCATCATTTGACATCAAACACTGTTGTGGATTCAGCTGATATTTAACAAAACTCATGTCTGGGCGATAGTCTGAATCTTAAATTTTGGGAGTTGGTAATTGTTTTCTACGTGCAAAATTGATGAAACTTGCATCTCTCAAAGACCCAAATTGTAGTTTGGTCAAATTGAGAAATTAATCTTTCTGCTACAGTCGTTATCATATAAGCTAATTTCTCTTTTTCATCTTGTAGGAAATAAAACCAAAGAAGAATAGCGCACAAAGAAATGCTTTAGCCTCAGCTCTCAAACTTCAGAGGAAAATTATAAAAACGTTGAATGAGAGTATGGATGAGCTTAACCAACGCAGGAAAAGCCTATGGTGGAGCAGATGGATCCCCAGGCAAGAATGAATACTATAAATACGTATACACATAATCCACTATTTTGTTGAAAATTTTGTCTCTAGCATGTATACAATTTAATTGTCTTCATATATAATAGATTGGTGTTAACTAATATGCAAGAAGAAAAATTAGGGGGGGAGGTCACTAGAATCTGTTGAAAACATGTCAGGAATCTTTTGACCGCTGGTGTAAATTCTATAAATTGTAATGTAGTATATATTGTAAAGGTGTTGAATGAGAAGAAACTTGATATGTAAAAATGTCACTTTTCTCGATATTCCTTCTAGCTAGCTTTATCCTAGTTTCTCAGTTCCCGGAATAAATTAAAACCCTTTGCTCCCTGAGACTTCGGACTTCGGACTTCAGAGAGCATAAATAGGTCTTGTCCTGATTTTGGGACAGTTTTCTCTCTTGTTTTGCGCAAATTAAGGACTGGAATTTGTAAATCTCATGGCCATGGATTATCTTTTTACTTGAAATTTCAAAACATGATCCTACTCTGCAAAAAATGTAGAATCATGATTGAATTACAGACTTGGTGCGTGCCACTAGAGTTGTTGAAAATCAGATTTGATTTGATTTGATATTTATTGACATTGTACATGATTGCATGTGATTAGGTCTGACTAGACTATGATTAGGCAATATAACCTGTAGTTATTTTCCTTTAATTATTTGTCTTGCACACATGATTGTAAATATGACAGCTTAGTAGGTCAGAATACAATGATTACTCCCCCCCCCCCCCAAAAAAAAACAATTTCTCTTTTTTCCCTCAATTTATCATGGTTTTGGTGGAAGCTGGTAGTTACTTGCTTCCATCTAACCCATGAGTTGAGTGATTGGACAAGGAGGCAAAAATATTTAAGAAATCATCTGCCAAAAGTATCCAGTAATCTAAAGTAGAGAATAGTGCACAAGTTTTCATGAAATCATTTTTTCATTGCATTTATTACCAAACTGTTAAATCTCAGAGTCGTTGATCGTCATATAATGCGGTGGATATGAAATTTCATGATTTGGTCATAAATAATTTGAAAAAAATAATTTTATGAGCACTCATGCATTTTTTTGTTACTTTAAGTTACTAGATATTTTTTGCTGATAACTTCTTGAGTATTTTTGTCATTTTGGCCTTAGTGATTTTCAATGCAAAACTAAGCATGCTTTTGATCCATCTTCTTCCTGCATGGTTACAAACTTTTCAACTTTATCTCACCTTTTCCTTGTCTTAACATGTAACTTACTTTCTCCAGTCTAAAATATAAGTAATTTGGTATTTGTAAAAAAAATCTCATTTTATTCTTGTATTAGTAACTTGGATTCTTGTGTTTATATATTTACGATCTTCTTTTCATTCATCATAAATTAAAATTAAGAGTAAAAATGAAAGCTAATACATATTTTCACATGAATAAGAATTTTATTGTTATGCAAATTTTTGTTAAAAGTTGCTTATATTGGACTGGATGGAGTAGGTTCATAGTGCCAAACTTTCATTACCCCATAAACAGTTATTAACCTTTCTAATTACTTGTGGTGAAGCATTCTGTGTACACTTCTACAAATTAGGGATAAGAACAAAATTTAATTTAAAAGATTAACATATAACTTGTTGCATAGAAAAGCTTCAGGACTTAGTGAAAACACATTGAAGACTCTTATTTCAAACTTGAAAGAGTTGTTTCATATTTTCAATGAGACACTCGATCCTCAAATATAGCAATTAGGTAGTAACATTCTAATCTTGCCTCACAAACCTTGAGCGCAGTGAAAAGTGAATAGATATGATGAAAAGGGGAAAGTTATACCTCAGCTCTAAATATTGTTTTGGGAATGACACATAGGTCCTAGAAGATCAATTTAATAACTATTAAGTTCTAAAAAATTGGAGATATTTCAGTGGAGATATTTCACATAGAATTCAAGCTGGGTGGTTTAATTGGAGAAAAGCTAAAGGAGTTATTTGTGACCGTAGGGTGCCTAATAAACTTAAAGGAAAGTTTTATCGTACTGCTATCAGACCGGCAATGTTATATAGTAGTGAATGCTGGGCTCTAACAGGACAGCAAGAGCATAAAGTTGGAGTAGCAGAGATGAGAATGTTACGATGAATGTGCGGACATACACGTAAAGATAAAATTCGAAATGAGCACATACGTGAAAAAGTGAGGGTGGCACCTATTGAGGAAAAAATGGTAGAAAATCGGTTGAGATGGTTTGGGCATGTACAAAGAAGACCAAGGGAGGCACCAGTGAGAAGAGTGGAACATATAACTTTGAGTCCGATTAAGAGAGGTAGAGGAAGGCCTAAGAGAACACTCTTGGAAGTTGTTGAACGTGATCTCTTAATTAATAATATTTCTAAAAGCTTAATAAATGATAGAGCACAATGGCGTCTTGCAATCCATGTAGCCGACCCCACCTAGTGGGATAAAGGCTTGTTGTTGTTGTTGTTGTTGTTGTAAGTTCTAAAAAATTTTTCTAAAGGAGGTTATAAATATGGAAGTGTACATTGCAAATCAAACGCTACAGTTTTATAGGTTGCTCTTAATTATGTGAAATTGAGATTCCTCCATAACAAGTTTGTGAATCAATATTTGCAAAGCATCTTTCAATAATTTTTATAGGAACCTAACTGTTTTTAAATTAATTTTTTAGGTCCTAGTTATCATTTTCACTATTGTTTTTTTGTCTCCATGACAGCTCAATGTGAAACGTGACACGCGTACAAGACTACTAAAGCAGTACATATAACTTGAAATATTCTACCAAAAAAAAAAAAAAACTTGAAATAGTTTAACACATAGCAGCTCGAGTTTCCAGTCAAGAAAAAACACTGTAAATCTGATTTACTGATTCTCCCACATGGACTTCTTTACATTTTTGGAACTCAGATCCTCTCAAAACGAGTCATTTTGTTCCTTAATAAAGAAACATCGATGTGTAAACATGGCTTGAAAAAGCTAGAGTCATAATAATAACAAAGAATTAAATTGGCGTATATGTTGATTAAATCGTAGGCAATGTTGTTTTGAATCACGAGAACTTCACGTGTAATTCTGACCTCCTTGCTCGGTACAGCAAAATCACTATTTTTTAAACGTAAAGTTTCAAACACTGAACCGAAAATAACAAAACCAGATGATAGAAGAATCAGTAAAAACAGGACATTGAAAAGAGGATTGCATCAAAAGTGAATGGGGAGAGCACGTATAGCAATGATATGTGGATGCTTAGCCTTGTCTTTAGTTAAGCACAACCAAAATCATCAGCTATTTGATTAATTATTTCCCACTAAAAAAATAGTGATGATAATAAATTTTGGGTCTGATTACACTTATATTTCCTCCGGTTTTTAACATAAGATAAATTTTAAATGTTTTTTGTCCTTCATATATAAAGCAAAATTAGAATGATTAATGTTCTCAATTTTACTCCTTATTTATTTATTATCATTTGAATTTTCACAAAATAATTTATCATGGTTATTAATTACAAAAGACTAAATTGGAGTATTATATATTTTAAATAATTTTAAAAATATAGTTACCATTTCTTAATAAATGTAAAATTAGTTAACTTTGCCTTATATTAAAGATTGGAAAGAGTAGCTTATTAAATCTATCTATCATAAATCTACATTTAAAAAGCTGACTATGGTCTTTTTTGTTTTAATTTTTAACAGTAATTTTGTTGTCACGCTCGCATGCTTTTTTTATTTTTTATTTTTAAATCTGCAGACTTAATTAAAAAAATGTCTTACAAATTAAGTCAAAAGGAGTAGCGTATTTAATCGATTTATTTATCTTGTAGGTTTTGAAATGAAGCTTATTCAATTTTTTTGAAGTGCTTCAATTTCGTTGCTACCCATACATTATACGTACATGATCAATGATGATTTTGTTGTGTGAGGAAAGTAAATAATTTAATGAATATTCAGATGATCAAAATTGACATTTGTATTTTGTTTTTGAAGGATTATGAATATATTTAAGCCTAAACATGATATGCTTTAAATTGCCTTACAATATCTCATTTGAAGATATTGAAAAGTAAACGGTAGATTTGGGATTTATTATAGGGTTGATAATAGAAGTTTTGACTATTTACTTAATCCAGGAGGGAGGCTTCATTACTTGCCCCAACTTGGGTGGGTAACATGATATGTTTGTTACATACATGCATGTGTTTTTGCTCTAAAACTTGACCCAATCTCACTCATCGCTCATTAGTAAGAAATTTCCTTCCTTTGACGACCTTTTTGTTCCACTCTCTTTCTTCATGTTTTTTTTTTAAAAAAAAAATTAAAGTCTTTCATCATGCTTTGCATGTGAGTGTGTAAATAATAAAGAGTCTTTTTTTTTTAAAAAAATATATGTAAAAGTAAAGTCACATTTGCTTACTAAAAAAGAATTGAATGGAATAGATTAAAAAAATAATGATAGAAATAAAATAATTAAAGAAAGTATGTGAACACATTGATAAGGAGGAGGGGTAATTTAGTTCATTGAGTTGAGAATTATAATTCATAAGATTTTTAAAGGATATAATATTTTTACATTTATAATATATATTAATAAATTTTATCATGCTTATCATGAGAGAAAAAAGTGATATAGTTCGTTTTTATCTTAATTTTTCAATTTATTCCATTACATTCTTTTCTAATAACTAAATGTGACTTAAATACTACTTCCTTCATGTTCTAATTATGGGGTAAAATTAACCAATTTCACAATTATTTTTAAAAAATGGTAGTTGATACCTTAAACTAAGAAAAATGTGTAACTTTCCAACTTTGTGATTCCTAAAATTAATGACCATAATAAAGTGGTATATGAAAATTGAAAGCATGCCAACAACTTGTTGGAATTAAAGAGGGGTGAGGTTGAAAAAAATAATAATAATAAGTGCGATATTTTGTCTTATATTTATTAGTTAGGACCACGCATCATTTTAAAACTTTTCCCTATAACTAAGATCAAAGAGTAAGATTTAAGTGTATAGATATTGAAAGCATTTCCACAACTTCTTGTTAAGGAAAGGTATAAGGATGGGTCAAACGGAATGAGTTAGTCCCTCCTAATGTGACAAGTTAAGTTTGAATTTTCATAAAAAGAGATGTCCATATTTGATGCTTGACCACGCTTTAAATAAATTATTTCCAATAAAAAGACACATGTGAATTATAAAATTAAATAGAAGAGAGAGTAGGATTTACATGTATAGAAATTGAAAGCTGGCCAACAACTTGATACAATTAAGGAGGGCTAAAGTTGAAAAAAAGCTTAACTACTATAGTTTTG